CCTGACAGATGGTCAACCAGCCTCTGTGTAAAAGCTTCCAAAGAAGGAGCCTCCACCACACTCCGGGGCAGAGAGTTCCACTGCTGAACGGCTCTCACAGTCAGGAAGTTCTTCCTCATGTTCAGATGGAATCTCCTCTCTTGTAGTTTGAAGCCCTTCCGTGTCCTAGTCTCCAGGGAAGCAGAAAACAAGTTCACTCCCTCCTCCATAAGACTTCCTCTCACATATTTATACATGGCCCTTATCATGTCTCCTCTCAGCCTTCTGTGTGTGTGCGGCGGGGGGGAGTGAAGGAGCGTTGGGTTGTGTGTGTATGTGCGGCAGGGGTGGAGCGTTGGGTTGTGTGTGTGTGCGGCGGGGGAGTGAAGGAGCGTTGGGTGTGTGTGTGTGTGCGGCGGCGGGAGGAGGAGTGGGGTTGTGTGTGTGTGCGGCAGCGGGGGGAGTGAAGGAGGTGGCGTGTTGTGGCGTGATCGTGTGGGGCGGGCAGGGGGAGGGGCCGTGGTTTGGAGTGATCACGCGGGGCGGGGCGACGGAGGATGGGGGCGTGGCTTGCATGGAGGGAGCGTTGGCTGGCAGGCCATGTGCGCACGCCAGGGAACTTGCGGCTGGGTGCCATTGCACATGCTCAGTTGTTTTGTCGTTTTGTGAGTGTGTTGTTGTGTTGTTTTTTATTTTGATTTGGTATGTTTGTACCTTGTGGGTTGTGGTATGTGCATGGGAATTTTGGTTAATTTTCATTGGGGGGTTTTTGAGTTTTGCTGTCCCGTTGGACGCCCCTTACAGATTTATAGATATAGATATATATTATTCATGTTACATTAGAATAGCACAGGAGACAAAGTAGAACAGTCCCCCCTCCCATAACATAATTTTTGGGGTTTTTTTGGGTTCTGTGTGGGAAATTTGGCCCAATTCTAGCATTGGTTGGGTTCAGAATGCTCTTTGGTTGTAGGTAAACTATAAATCCCAGAAATGCCAACTCCCAAATGCCAAGTCTGTTTTCCACAAACTCCACCAATGTTTGTTATGCAGTGACGTTTTGCCCAGCGTCCCAGTGCCTAAAGTCCAAATGCAAAAGACTCACAGACCAGAGTAAAAGTGAACAGAAAAATCTTTACTCTTTACTCAGCAGAGATGAAACATAAATTGGCAATTCACACACACTCGTATGGTCCTGCAAGGACTTAGCGCAACAATGTTCGCATTCGGACTATTCATGCCAAGTTTGGTCCAGATCTATCATTGTTTGAGTCCACAGTGTTCTCTGGATGGAGGTGAACCACAACTCCAAAACTCAAGGTCAGTGCCCACCAAACGCTTCCAGTATTTTCTGTTGGTTATTCCAGACCCTTGATTATTTTAGTCGCCCTCCTCTGGACACATTCCAGCTTGTCAATATCTCTCTTCAATTGCGGTGCCCAGAATTGGACACAATATTCCAGGTGTGGTCACAGGCGGTCCTAGGTAATTTTCAATGTATTTTGCCCCCCCCCCCCAACCAATCACTGATATATATTTTCTGTTCGTCGTGGGAGTTGTGTGCCATATTTGGTTCAATTCCATCATTGATGGAGTTCAGAATGCTCTTTGATTGTAGGTGAACTATACATCCCAGTAACTACAACTCTCATATGTCAAGATCTATTTTCCCCCAAAAGCGCCTCAAGAGCACCCCTGGGCAAAATCAACTATACTGCAAATGCTTACGTTGCGTAATGGTTGAGCCGCCCCTGGGTGTGGTCTAACCAAGGCGGAATAGAGCATGGGGAGCATGACTTCCCTAGATCTAGACACTAGGGCTGGGCGGTTTCGTTCGTTAATTTTGTATATCTTTTTTCCCCGTTAATTTCCCATATACGAAACGATATCAAACTTTTTTCCAAACCCGGAAGTGTATTTTCAAAATCGAAACAGCATGCGCCAAATATTTTTGTATTTCCGTCCATTTCGGAAATACGTAAGATGGCTAGATGCTTGCTGGGAGCTCCGGGAGCCAATCAGAAGAACCCACGGAGCTGATTGCCCTGTGGGTTCTCCTGATTGGGCCCGCAGTGCCTCCTGCTGAGGATTATTAGGCTGGCTCTCCTCTCTCTCCTCTCCTTAGCCAGTCAGAGCCTGAAAGAGGAGGAGGAGGAGGAGAGGGCGGGGAAGGCGCCGGCTGAGCAAGCGAGCGAGAGGGCGAGCGACCCTCAGCGGGAAGGCGGCCCCGTCCCTCCTTCCTCACCTTTGCGGTGGGTGTGCTTCGGAGGAGCCGGGCCCGACTCGGCGGCAGCGCTTGAGGGCCCGCCAGAGTGAGTGCCTGCCTTCCCTCCTTTCCCTTCCTCTTTTCTTTCTTCTCCTTTCCCTCCTCTTGGTGGAGAGAGAAAGAGAGAGAGAGAGAGCCCGCAGGACTCAGGAGGGTGGGACGGAGCTGGGAGCAGCGGGGAGGCTCAGTCTGTTTTTGGCAAGCATTTTCTGCCAAATATATTTTTTTATTATTAAAAAAATTTAATAATTAAATTTAAAAAATATTGAAAAAATATTGAAAAAATTTCGTTGATGCTTTATGCTTTGCGCATGCGCAACCGCGGGCGCCATCTTTACAAAACGTTTTGTAAATATTAACGAAATTTCATAAATACCAAACTTTTTTTTATGGAAAATTTCGGATATATTTTTAAATACAAAACGCTGAGGCACCCTAAAAACGAAACGATATTAGAAACAAATTTTTCCGTTGTTACCCAGGCCTACTAGACACTATGCTCCTATTTATGCAGGCCAAAATCCCATCGGCTTTTTTTGCCGCCGCATCACATTGTTGGCTCATGTTTAACTTGCTGTCCACGAGGACTCCAAGATCTTTTTCACATGTACTGCTCTCGAGCCAGGCATCGTCCCCCATTCTATATCTTTATTTTGTTTTTTGTTATTATTTTGCCTAAGTGGAGTATCTTGCATTTGTTCCCGTTGAACTTCATTTTGGTCCTGCAAGGACTAAGGGCAACAATGTTCACATTTGGACATATTGACTATTCATGCCATATTTGGTCCAGATCTATCACTTTTTGAGTCCACAGTGTTCTCTGGATGGAGGTGAACGACAACTCCAAAACTCTAGGTCGGTGCCCAGTATTTTCAGTTGGTCATAGGGGTCTGTCTGCCAAGTTTGGTTCTCCCCCCCCCACTTGTCACTTCTTTCCAAGATGAAGAGGAAGCATTAGTGAGCACTCTCTGTGTTCGTCCACTTAACCAATTACAGTGGACGAAAAAAAACACATAAGTACTATTTACTAGGCCTGTCCGGTTTCGTTCGTTAATTCGTTAATTCGTTATTAATTCGTTATTTTTGGCATTTTTGAAGCGATATCAAAACACATTTCCAAACCCGGAAGGGTTTTAAAATATCGAACCAGCAACCCCCATAGATTTAACGAGCTTCCGCTCGTTTCGTTAATGGGGTGGAGGCTGCTGGAGTGCTGGTGCCTGGGAGCCAATCCGGCGCTCCCAAGCAGTGCACCGTGGGTCCGCGGCTGTTTGTTTTTGATTGGCCGGCGAGCCCTTTCAAAGCGGCTCCGCGCGGCCGTAGCTTGCTGCAGAGGGCGAGGGAGTTTGCATTGGGTTGGCTTGGCTGCTAGCAACTGGATTAATGGATTCATTCCTTGCTGCTGTGAGTGCTGCTTGCTTCATTTGCTGTCTCCTGCCTGTGTTTGGTCACATTTGGGCCATTTTTTGGTTAATTTTCCATTTTAAAATATTTTTAATATTATTTTAATATTCTTTTTTAATATTATTTTAATATTATTCTTAAAAAATATTCTAAAAAAGAAAAGACTCTTCTGTTGGTGTGTGCTCTCATTTGCTGTCTCCTGCCTGTGTTTGGTCCACATTTGGACCATTTTTTGGTTAATTTTCCATTTTAAAATATTTTTTAATATTTTTTAATATTATTTTTTAATATTATTTTAATATTATTCTTAAAAAATATTCTAAAAAAGAAAAGACTCTTCTGGTGGTGTGTGCTCTCATTTGCTGTCTCCTGCCTGTGTTTGGTCCACATTTGGGCCATTTTTTGGTTAATTTTCCATTTTAAAATATTTTTTAATATTATTTTTTAATATTATTTTAATATTATTCTTAAAAAATATTCTAAAAAAGAAAAGACTCTTCTGTTGTGTGTGCTCTCATTTGCTGTCTCCTGCCTGTGTTTGGTCCACATTTGGGCCATTTTTTGGTTAATTTTCCATTTTAAATATTTTTAATAAAATATTTTTAATATTATTTTAATATTATTTTTAAAAAATATTCTAAAAAAGAAAAGACTCTTCTGTTGGTGTGTGCTCTCATTTGCTTTCTCCTGCCTGTGTTTGGTCCACATTTGGGCCATTTTTTGGTTAATTTTCCATTTTAAAATATTTTTTAATATTATTTTAATATTATTCTTAAAAAATACAAAAAATATTCTAAAAATTCGTTAATATTTACAAAATTTCGTAAATACCAAAACTTTTTGGGGGAAAGTTTTGTAATTATTTTAAATATCGAAACAAAAAAACACCCCAATTACAAATCGATTTTAGAAACAAATTTTTTCTTGATCAAACAGGCCTATTAACTATACATCCCAGCAACTACAACTCCCAAATTACAAAATCAACCTTTCCCCCAACCCCACCAAATTTGGGTGTATTGGGTATTTGTGCCAAATTTGGTCTAGTGAATGAAAATACATTCTGAATATCAGATATTTACATCATAACAGGAGCAAAATTGCAGTTATGAAGTAGCAACAAAAATAATGTTATGGTTGGGGGTCACCACAACATGAGGAACTGTATTAAGGGGTCGCGGCATTAGGAAGGTTGAGAACCACTGCCCTAAAAGGTCACCAAAGATAAACAAAGGCGGTGAATACAGGAGGATCTTGTATCAAGCTGGTGGAGAAGACCTTCTTGTCCCACATGGTGACAATGTGAAAGCCCAATATCCTACCAACTAAACGGAAGAGAACTGAGTCCAGGTTGTGAAATCACTGCTCATTTATTAACCCAACTGAGTCACATTCAATACACAAGAGTGTGCCTTTACTCCAAAGTGTTGACGTTGGAGTCCATAGACGAGGAACGAGCCAGAAATTATTGAAAAATGGGATTGGGGTGGTTTAGTGCTATTCACAGACTGGTTCCTACCCATGAGACACTCAGCTATGGCAATGCAATTGGTCTCCAAGAAACAATAAAAACATGTTAATCATATGATACAGATATGGCACTGGGGGGGACGGGGACATGCCAGTGCTATGACACACAACTTGAGGCGTACTCCGTAACTGACAATGTACTGAAATGGATGATTTGCATGCAAATGGTGTAAGAAAGGAAAAAATAACCCAAAACATTGGCCAGCTTCCTTTATGGGACAGGCCCTAAGGCAACACACGTTGGCGCCGTTTAGCAATGTGCAGTTGTGCAACTGTTTGCAAGGCAGGCTAGCCTTGCACAACGATACCGCAAAGAGAAAGAGCCACTGGACACATGTAAGCCAGGAAACAGGAGATGGAAAAGGCATCTTCAGCTGGGAAAAACAATCATGTCCACCTTCCTTTGGTTTTGGAGACTGGGATTCTTCGTTGCGTGGCAGGATCTGTTATATGGGATGGGAGCTTCCATTACGCAACATGACGTCTTGCTCATGTTGCGGTCCCTTTACATCGTGTGCTGGAGATGTGTCTCTTTCTCTTCCATATTGCAAGATCCCAATTACCTTCAGACTTACACTGAGCAAAATATCCCATCCAGATGGTGTAAATAAGGTTGTTGCACATGCTGGTCTGGAGATGGGTTTAATCCTGGGTTGCTGCTCGCTTAGGCTCAGTTTTGGAGCGGCATTCACCCATTTCTTCACCCTTCCAGTCCTGCCCCTTCGAAAAACAAAGGGGAGCTCACTTCCAATCCCATTAGTGTCAGGACCCAGGTGAGTTGCATCCTATCCCAAAGTGCTCTGGTGTACGAAGGTCTGCTAGGACCCACCTTATACGTCCGTTTCGATCCGCAGCCGCTCCATGCGCTGCACGTTGCGCTCCACGGTGCTGCGGTTGGTGATCTCTTGGGCACAGCTTTGGGGAAACCAGCCTTTCTCGCCGTCCCGCAGACGCTCCCCTAAGTACCAACCTAGGGCAAAAGAGGCAACGGTATCAACAGCAAGAATGGGATGTGTGGATTAAATGAAATTGTGTGATTGGGGTCTGGCTAAAGACCTGCTAAAGCTTGCCAAGGCTGGAGACACCATCCTAAGAAGTTTGGAACCTGGAAAACTGTATTACGCGGAAAACTGCATATACGGCTCCGGTCCAGCGTACCTGTCCAAACGTATCTCCTTCTACGTCCCACCTTGAAGCTTAAGATCCTCTGGGGAGGCCCTGCTCTCGGCCCCGCCTTTGTCTCAAACACGTTTGGCGGGGACGAGGGACAGGGTCTTCTCGGTGGTAGCCCCACAATCACATCTCCTTCTATGAACCGGTGCAAACTCTAAGATCTTCCGGGGATGCTCTCCTCGCGGTCCCACTACTGTCTCCAGTGCGGTTGGTGGGGACGAGAGAGAGGGTCCCATCCCTCCCCTCCTTCCGTAAGAGCTTGAAGACCTGGTGGTTTCAACAAGCCTTTGAAAATGGCCAGTTCTAACTCAGCCCTATACATTGTCGAATACGGCCTTATTCTTCCTACCAATTACCCAGATCATTTTTTCTAGTCGGCCCTGGACTCAAGGCTGTCACTTGAGTCCGTACCACAGACCCGTACCAAATATTATTGTTGCCTGCCATAGCATTGCATTTAACTCCCGGGGCCCCTAGAATTTTGGGGCTTGCACAAATCTTGGCCCGGCCTTTAAATATTGTTTTTAATTGCCTTGAACAGGTAGGATTACTTTTAATATATGTGTGTTATGGCGACAATTTTTATGCATATTTTGTTTTGTTAATCTTACGGTTATGTTGTTTTTACTTTGTATGTTCTGTGTTTTTACCTGGGAACCGCTCTGAGTCCCCTCGGGGAGATAGAGCGGTATATAAATAAATTATTATTATTATTATTATTATTATTATTATTATTATTATTATTATTATTATTAAAAAGGCTGGGCCAAGGCTAGTGCAATTTGTAGAGGGCCAAGGAAATTAGGTGCAATGCTATGACAGGCAACAACAATAATAGGTAAATATGGCTGTTCATAGCAGGAAGTAACCTGGATAATTGGTAGAAAAAGATATGGCCATATTCAACAATATCTGAGGCTGAGCTAGAACTAGTCATTCTCAAAGGTTTGTTTAAACCACCAGGTCTTCAGGCTCTTATGAAAGGAGGGGAGAGATGGGGCCTGTCTTATTTCCCTGGGGAGGGCGTTTCAGAGGTGGGGGTGCCACCACTGAGAAGGCTCTCTCTCTTGTCCCCACCAACCGTACTTGTGACAGTGGTGGGAGCGAAAGGAGGGCCTCCCCGGAAGATCTTAGAGTTGCGTGCCGGTTCATAGAGGGAGATGCGATCGCAAAGATAGGCGGGGCCCGAACCGTTTAGGGCTTTATAGGTCATAACCTGCACCTTGAATTTGGCTTGGCAACTTATTGGCAGCCAATGAAGCTGGAGTGGAGACCTGGTTGGACGAAGCTGGAGGCGTGAATTTGACCCAGCTTTGCCCACCAGGTTTTTCCGTGCAGCATCAGCCGAGATCCGGAGGGCAGGGAGGCGGGGTCGCAGTGGTCTATAGAGATTCCATCCCCCTGACCAGGGGCCCCATCCCGCAGTCAACAAATTTTGAATGCGTCCACCTGAGGGTGGGTGACCGGGACAGAATAGGGATTTTGTTAGTGTACCGTCCACCTTGCTGCACTACAGTCTCCCTACCTGAGCTAGCAGGGGTGGTCTCAAGCCTGGCATTGGAGTCTCAACGGCTCCTCGTGCTGGGAGACTTCAATGTCCATGCCGAGGCAGCCCTCTCAGGAGCGGCTCAGGACTTCATGTCTGCCATGGCAACCATGGGGCTGTCCCAACAAGTATCTGGCCCCACCCACTGTGCTGGACATACATTGGACTTAGTTTTCTGCCAGGGATGGGAGGAAGGTGGCGGTGTGGAGGAGTTGACCATCTCTCCGTTGCCATGGACCGACCACTTCCTGGTCAGATTTAGGCTCACTGCGCCCCCTAACCGCAGAGGTGGAGGACCCATTAAGTTGGTCCGCCCCAGGAGGCTTATAGATCCGGATGGATTTCATTGGATTCATTTCAATTGGTGAAACCCAAGGATGTGGACAAGATACTTGGAGGAATGAGGCCTACCACGTCCATCCTAGACCCCTGCCCATCCTGGCTTCTAAAGGAGGCCAGAGGGGGATTGGCTGAGTGGGTTGAGGTGGTGGTTAACGCCTCCCTTCGGGAAGGCAGAATTCCAGCGAGCTTAAAACAAGCTATAATAAAACCGCTGTTGAAAAAACCATCACTGGATCCCACTAAATTTGACAACTTTCGGCCAGTTTCCAATCTTCCCTTTTTGGGCAAAGTCCTGGAACGTGGTGGCCTCACAACTCCAGGTATTCTTGGGAGACACGGATTATCTGGATCTGGCACAGTCTGGTTTCAGACCGGGACATGGAACTGAGACAGTTTAGTGGATGATCTGCGCTGGGAGCTCGACAGGGGGAGTGTGTCCCTGTTGGTGCTGCTGGACCTCTCAGCGGCCTTCGATACCGTCGACCACGGTATCCTTCTGGAACGCCTTGCGGGGATGGGTCTCGGGGGCACTGTTTTACAGTGGCTTCGGTCATTCCTGGAGGGTCGGTCCCAGAAGGTGTTATTGGGAGACACCTGTTCAACCCCACAACCTTTGTCGTGTGGGGTTCCTCAGGGCTCAATACTGTCCCCCATGCTGTTTAACATCTACATGAAGCCGCTGGGTGAGATCATCCGGAGTTTCGGGGTACGGTGTCATCTGTACGCAGATGATGTCCAACTCTGTCACTCCTTTCCACCTGCTACTAAGGAGGCTGTCGAGGTCCTGAACCGGTGCCTGGCCGCTGTAACGGTCTGGATGAGGGCGAACAAATTGAAATTGAATCCAGACAAGACAGAGGTACTCCTGGTCAGTCGCAAGGCCAAACAGGATATAGGGTTACAGCCTGTGCTGGATGGGGTCGCACTCCCCTTGAAGGCGCAGGTTCGCAGCTTGGGTGTGATCCTGGATTCATCGCTGAGCCTGGAGCCCCAGGTCTCGGCGGTGACCAGGGGAGCATTTGCACAGCTTAGGCTCGTGCGCCAGCTGCGCCCGTACCTTGGGAAGTCTGACTTGGCCACGGTAGTCCACGCTCTGGTTACATCCCGTTTAGACTACTGCAACGCTCTCTACGTGGGGTTGCCTTTGAAGATGGCCCGGAAGCTCCAACTGGTCCAACGTGTGGCAGCCATGTTACTAACAGGAGCAGGACGCAGGGAGCATACAACCCCCCTGCTGTACCAGCTCCACTGGCTGCCGATCTGCTACTGGGCTCAATTCAAGGTGCTGGCATTGCCTATAAAGCCCTAAACGGTTCCAGCCCAAGATACCTAACTGACCGCCTCTCGGCCTATGAGCCCACGAGGACTTTGAGATCTTCCGGGGAGGCCCTGCTCTCGATCCCGCCTGCGTCACAGGCACGGCTGGCGGGGACGAGAGACAGGGCCTTCTCGGTGGTGGCTCCTCGGCTGTGGAACACCCTTCCCGTGGACATCAGGCTAGCTCCCTCCCTGTTGATATTCTGCAGGAAGCTAAAGACCTGGCTGTTTAAGAAGGCATTTGAATAAGAAGTGCAAGGACTGGTAATTTGACCATAGGATTGGAACAACGGAAATGATATCGGATTGTGGGTTTGACGATGAGACGACTCGGAATTGGCTGTTGTATTAATGTTGATGTTAATGTTGATGTTTTGATGAGTTGTTTTTGATAATGACGAATTGTGGATTTTTTACACTATGTCTTGTATTTTGCACCTGTTTTTCTATGTTGTACACCGCAATGAGTCGCCCTTGGGCTGAGAATTGCGGTATATAAGCGTAGTAAAGAAATAATAAATAAATAATAATGAAGCTGTTTTAATAGGGGTGTTGTGTGCTCCCTATAGTTTGCTCCAGTAAGGAGCCTGGCTGCTGCCCATTGTACCAGTTGGAGCTTCTGGGCCATCTTCAAGGGCAGCCCCACATAGAGCGCATTGCAATAGTCCAATCTGGAGGTAACCAAGGTGGCCAAACCAGACTTCATGAGGTTTGGTTGCAGCCAGCGCATTAATTTGAGTTGTGCAAAGGCCCTCCCGGCCACCGCCGACACCTGAGCATCAAGTGACAGCGTTGAGTCCAGGAGAATCCCCAAGCTACGGACCTGCGCCTTCAGGAGGAGTGCAACCCCGTCGAGCACAGGTTTCCACCCAATACCCTGGTCAGCCCTACAACTGACCAGGAGGACCTCTGTCTTGTCTGGATTAAGCTTCAACCTGTTAGCCCTCATCCAGTCCATCATAGCAGTCAGACACTGGTTCAAGGTCTGGGAGGCTTCCTTGGAGTTTGGTGGAAATGAGTAGTAGAGTTGGGTGTCATCTGCATACAGATGGCACCCAACTCCAAAACTCCGGATGACCTCACCCAGTGGTTTCATGTAGATATTAAAAACACTGATCTAGGAGGACAGGTTGGGCTGAATGAATGCAACTAACTCAAGATCTCCCCATAGCTTCTCACAACCTGATTCCGAAGAGATCCTAATCTAGCCAGTCTTCTCTATTTATGAACCCTAGAATCCTAGAGTTGTGCCATCCAGTCCAACCCCATTTTGCCACAATCAAAGCCCTCTTTCCAGCCTCTCTTCAACAACCTCCAGTGAAGGAGATGTTTTGAATCTCCTGCTTTTGTACCCCATCCACTGAAAAGTCCTTCCATCAGGATGTTCTCGCAATGCTACTACTCACCCTCTTCTCCAGCCAGGACCAAGACAACATCCGCCTGCTGCAGGGAAATCTCATCCGTCTGCTTAGCCATGAACGGCCGAGTAATCTCCACTTGCTTGAGATCTTGGAAGAAAGAAGAACACATGTTTCTAATTGGTTTATTGAAATCAGGGGTGTCAAACTCATTTTCAATCGAGAGCCACCTTAGCAATATGGTTGCCTTCAAAGGGTCGTTGAATCCATAGACAGAGAATCTGTGGATAAAACTTCCCAGAGCCAGAGATGAGCACCGCCTCCAGAAGCCAGAAATGAAAGGAGAAGCCTTTGCCTTTGTTTGTGTTTGTGTGTCTCCTTGTATATGTTCGTAAAGGCATTGAATGTTTACCTATGTATGTAAATGCTGTAATCCGCTCTGAGTCCCCCCATGGGGAGAAGGGCGAAATATGAACAGAGTGTATTATTATTATTATTATTATTATTAGCTGTACCCGCCACACATTGCTGTGGCCAATCTTCCCTCTCCTCCCTTCCCTCTTTTCCTTCCTTTCCTCTTTTTCTTTCCCTATCTCTCATCTTTCTTCCATCTCTACCTGTTTCTTTCCTCCCTTTCTTTTCTCTTTGGTTTCATTCTTCCTTCCTTCCTTCCTTCCTCTCCCTTCCCCCTCCCTCCTTTTCCTTCCTTCCTTCCTTCCTTCCTTCTTCCTTCCTTTCCTTCCTTCCCTCCTTCTTCCTTCCCTATCTTTCGTTCCTTCTCTCCTTCCTTCCCTCTTTTTCCTTTCACTTTTTTATTTCCTTCTCTCCTTCCTTGCTTCTCTATCTTTCTTTCCTCCTTCTCTCCTTCCTTCCTTCCCTCTTTCCCTCCTTCTCTCGTTACTTCTTGACTGTCCCTTCCATTTAATATTGTATTTATATCTTACATAGAAAGAAGGAAAGGAAGAAGGAAGGAGGGACATGAAGGAAGGAAAAAGGAAGGGAGGGAGGGAAAGAAGGGAAGGAAGGAAAAGAAAGAAGGAGGGACAGGGAGGGAGGGAGGAGAAGGAAGGAAGGAGGAAGGAAGGAGGGAAAGAAAGGAGGGGGATGAAGAAAGGGAGGGAAGGAAATGAAGGGGAAAGGAAAAGAAGGAAAGGAAGAAAGGAGGGACAGGAAGGAAGGGAAGGAGGGAAAGAAGGAAAGGAAGGAGAAGGAAAGAAGAAAAGGAAAGAAAGGAAGGAAAGGGAGGAAAGAAGGAAAGGAAGGAGAAGGAAAGAAGAAAAGGAAAGAAAGGAAGGAAAGGGAGGAAAGAAGGGAAGGGAGGGAGAGAAGGAAGGTCCTTCATTCAAGCACTGTGGACCTTCCTCGCCTCCTCCTCCTCCTCCTCCCTTTCTTCCTTGCTCCGTTGCTGCTGCTGGCACTCATCCGCCCTTTCCTCTTCCAACAGGGAAAGGAGGAGGAGACTGCCTCCACCTCCTCCACTCCACTCGCTTGTGTGTGTGCGTGTGTGGCCGTGCACGTGCACCTGGCTTTAACGGCCGGCTGTTTCCCCGCGAGGAGGGGGGGGCATGGCCATGGGTCTCTGTAGACATGCAGTTTCCCCTTTGTGGACATGCAGTTTAGAAGTCCTTTCTGCTTTTTGTTTTCGTTGTTTTTTTGAGTGGAGAACATACATTGGGTTGTTAGGGACATAGTGTCCAAATTTGGTGTCAATTGCCCCAGTGGTTTCTGAGTTCTGTGAATAGCACAAACGAACATTACATTTTTATTTATATAGATCATTAAAGCTTGACTAAAGTACTGCAATGAGTTCATGGTCAAGTAGAGTGCAGAAGGATTGCGACGGCGCAGCTGGCGCCACCTATATGTAAAACTTTAAGTTGCAAAGGTTTGCGCTGTTGTAACATCTCCAGACTTGCCTGTCTACCTCGTAAATGTATAGTTGAATTCACTGGTGATTTACTGCTGTCAATCAATGTTGTTTTACATCAATTGGCTTGTTCCCCCAACTCAATTGTTTGGCTCCACCCCTTCCTAGGGAGAAGAGCAATACTTTCATCTTCATTCTTACCACCAAAAGCTCAACAGATGGACGTGCGAAAGGCTTGGCTCAAAGCCCTTGGTCAAGTCATTTCTTACCACCAATTCTTAGGTTTATACCCTTAAGATTCATACTTCATGCCCAGCTCATCTGGACGACGTTGAGGAATCTTAAGCGCCTTCAAACCAGTCCTTTGGCATCAAGAGGAAGACTTTGTGCCTTCAATATAGGCCATTGGACTGGGGCTGTGAGTGTTCCGACCTCGTAGCCATTGAGAAAGAGGGAACTTGGAAAGCTACTCAGCTGGAAAACTCCTTGGACCCAAGACAACCAGAGACTATAATGTATATTTTCTTTACCCCCTTTTGGAACATCAAGTTTAATTGCCTCATGTACAGGAGTTGATTATAAATTGTATGATTTTAATCGTATTTGTGTTTAGATTGGCTGCAGTAATGCTGGAGCGGCCTAAGTCAGAGGAGTCCTCCATGGAGACCGATGCAGGAGAGAGGGAAGTGGGAGGAGCTTAGAGGGGAGAGTTTGAAAAAACGACAGTTAAAAATCAGTTAGGGTTTAGGTTTAGAGGAGTGAGCAGTCAGGAGTTAGGTTCAGAGGAGTGAGGAGTTAGGAGTTGGGAGAGAAGGAAAGGAAAGGTGGCGGAGTGACTTGTGAAGCAAAACTTTGAGGCTTTGAAAAGCTGGGTTTGGCTATTGGAAGTTTCTCAGGCTAGTGCAGCCGAATGGTGAAACATAGCTGGAATTCTTTTAGTCTAAGGAGAGGCTAAAGAATAGTTTACTTAGTATTTGATCTAGGGAGGATCAACTAAGGGAAACATCCCTGTATGGAAACTTTGTCTGAAACAAGTGCTCTACGTCAGAAAGATACTGTGTTACTTGAAAGAATGAACTGTTAAAGTTACAAGTATTATTCCAAGTGCAACAAGGAAAAGTTACGTCTTGCAACCACACGCTGTGTACTTAATAAAATTGTTAACTTTTATTTGAAGATTGCCTCAGCTCCATCTATTCTGTGTACCAAGTGCCATTTCTCACAATATTACAACTTTTATTTATTATTATTATTTTATTTGCTGCATTTGTTGACCGCCGCTCTCAGCCCTAGGGCGACTCGCGGCGGTGTACAACATATAAAAACAGTTTACAATAAGGCACAACAAGAAATCAACATATCAATAATACACACTAATCTAAATTACACTAACTAATCCGCATCGTCACAATAGAATCATAACCAATCTCGTAATCCGTATACCGTTCCAGTTGTCCTTACCAGTCAATGTAGCACTCAGTTAAATGCCTTCTCAAATAGCCAGGTCTTTAGGCTTTTACGGAAAGCCGCCTGTCTGATGTCAACAGGGAGGGTGTTCCACAGCCGGGGGGCCACCACCGAGAAGGCCCACTCTCTCGTCCCCACCAGACGTGCCTGTGAGGCAGGCGGGATCGAGAGAAGGGCCTCCCCAGACGATCTCAAGGCCCTCGTGGGCTCATAGGCCGAGATGCGGTCCGAAAGGTATTTTGGGCCGGAACCGTTTAGGGCTTTGTAGGATAACACCAGCACCTTAAATTGGGCCCGGTAGCAGATCGGCAGCCAGTGGAGCTGGGACAACAAGGGCGTTGTATGCTCCCTGCGTCCCGCTCCCGTTAGTAACATGGCTGCCGCGCGCTGGACTAGCTGAAGCTTCCGGGCCGTCTTCAAGGGCAGCCCCACGTAGAGAGCGTTGCAGTAGTCAAGGCGGGATGTGACCAGAGCGTGTACCACCGTGGCCAAGTCAGACTTCCCAAGGTACGGGCGCAGCTGGCGCATGAGCCTAAGCTGTGCAAATGCTCCCCTGGTGGCAGAAACGCAGGGAAAAGTAACCAAATAAATCTACATTCTTCTCTCCAGTCACGCTACAGTATATACAGTGTAATTACTACTAAGTTATTACTTTCTTAATAAAGGAGGAGGTGCAATTGAACAGCCTCCCTTCTAACTTGATGGTAAATTTGGTTCCTAATCGGCAACCTCCATTGCAAATCGGCTAAGTCTTTTTAAAATTGGGAACTGGGGTAAAATCTCCTGAATACTGGTTCCTTTCAAACTGGTGGCAACAATAAATCATCCCTCAGCTCCCCTGCTTCTTTCCACCTCAGAAAGATAACTTTTTGTATTTCGAGTTATCTATAGTGTCTTGTTGATCCTCGGGAGTTCTAGTTCTCTAAAGGAAGGCAAGAAGCAATTCCTTGGGGAAAAGTTGCCACGTCCTTGTTTTTTCACTAAGAACTATAGATTCCCAGGCAGCGACTGCATAAAACCCTTGTAAGCTAGGGTTATACCTGCCATGTTGTATTCACAACCAAAACAGCACGAAGACAGTAAGATTTCAAAACCCCCGAAGCCGTACCTCCTTTGTTTGCAGCGCTCGTCTTCTTGTCCTCCCTGTGTGTCAGGGCCATGATCCATCGGGCGCGATCACTTCTGCCAAAAGCAAAGAAAACGAGCACAACGCATTACAAAACAATGCAAAGTCCAGCACCACATTTCCCAGATAACCAAACAGAGAATAATAATACGAATACTAATAATAATAATAATACTTTATTTATGTTCCGCCCTTCTCCCCAAGCGGATTACAGCATATAAACAGACGCAGGCAAACATTCTAGGCCTTGTTACAGTGGGATACAATGAAACACAAACATCACAGACAAAGGCAAAGGCTTCTCCTTTCATTTACGGCTCTAGGGGAAATGCTCAACTCCATTTCCAAGCCAAGGAGCTTGCATTGTTCGTAGACTCCTCTTAGTCATGTGGCTGGCATGACTGCATGGAGTGTTTTTTTGCTTTTCCTGCTGAGGCGGTACCTATTTATCTACTCACATTAGCATGCTTTCAAATTGCTAGGTAGGCAGGAGCTAGGGCTAATAGTGGGAGCTCACCCCATCCTGCACATTCGAACTGCCAACCTTCAGATCAGCAGCACAAGGGTTTAACCCATTGTGCCACCGTAGCCCCAGAATGCATTTGGGGTGGATAAGGCTGGAGATCACAGACTGAAATTATACAATTCATTCCCCTGTCTTCTTTATTCCTTCCCTTACTCTCTTCTTTTCTTCCTTTCCCCCCTTCCCTCATCTTTTCTTCACTTTTCTTTTCCTTTCTCCCCTTCCCTCATACCTCCCCACTTTTCTTTTTTTTTTCTCCCCCTTCCCACCTTGTTGCTTTCCTTCTCACTCATATACATCTAAGTCCCTTTCTTCTTCAGTGACATCACAAAGGGCCACTTCACCTAGCCACAGCCAATCAGCTTTGGGGGCCATGGTGGCGCAATGGGTTAAACTCTTGTGCTGCTGACCTACCCTACCCTAGAAACCTTTAAAAAGGATCTTAAAACCTGGCTCTTCTGCTGCACCTTTGGAGAGTAGGTATACAATCCCACACTACTGCTTAGCCTCAATGTTCTGTCATTGGAGTATATGTCGTCCCCCCTCTGTGGGAAAGCTTGATTCCACAACCCCCTGCTATAATGAGCTCTCCTCCGCAAATAATCTGTCTCTTTTTATCTCGCCCGAGTTTTAAATTAGTTTTAATTAGTCTCTCTTTTAATCATTACATGCAGCCCGCCCATTGTCATTGTGATTGCGTCTATTGTAACTTTATATTGTTATGTATTTACATGTTTTATTTTATTATGATGTTGCCGTTTACTGTTTGCTTTTTTGGTTATGTTTTGGTTTTATTTTTATTGTAATTTGTTGTTTGGGCTTGGCCTCATGTAAGCCGCTCCGAGTCCCCACTGGGGAGATGGTGACGGGGTATAAATAAATATTATTATTATTATTATTATTATTATTATTATTATTATTATTAGGGATGGGTTGAGTTCCCGCTGTTAGCCCTAGCTGCTGCCAATGCAAATGTGAGAAGATAAATAGGTACTGTTTTAGGAAAGGCAAAAACACTCCATGCAGTCATGCCAGCCACATGACCAGGAGGTATTTATTTATCGTGTCATCCGCAACCAGAACACTGTATTACATTTCTAACAGAACAAAACAAACAAACAGACAAAAAACACACAAATTTTGCAAACTTGGTAGTTGATTAAATGTCCTTTGACCAGTATCTGGCCACTTGGAGTGCCTCTGGTGTTGCTGCAAGGAGGTCCTCCATTGTGCATGTGGCAGGACTCAGGTTGCATTGCAGCAGGTGGTCAGTGGTTTGCTCTTCTCCACACTCGCATGTCGTGGATTCCACTTTGTAGCCCCATTTCTTGAAGTTGGCTCTGCATCTCGTGGTGCCAGAGCGCAGTCTGTTCAGCGCCTTCCAAGTCGCCCAGTCTTCTGTGTGCCCAGGGGGGAGTCTCTCATCGGGTATCAGCCATGGATTGAGGTGCTGGGTTTGAGCCTGCCACTTTTGGACTCTCGCTTGCTGAGGTGTTCCAGCGAGTGTCTCTGTAGATCTTAGAAAACTATTTCTTGATTTAAGTCGTTGACGTGGTGGCTGATACCCAAACAGGGGATGAGCTGGAGATGTCTCTGCCTTGGTCCTTTCACTATTGGCTGCTACTTCCCGGCGGATGTCAGGTGGTGCAATACCGGCGAAGCAGTGTAATTTCTCCAGTGGTGTAGGGCGCAGACACCCCGTGATAATGCGGCATGTCTCATTAAGAGCCACATCCACTGTTTTAGCGTGGTGAGATGTGTTCCACACTGGGCATGCGTACTCAGCAGCAGAGTAGCATAGCGCAAGGGCAGATGTCTTCACTGTGTCTGGTTGTGATCCCCAGGTTGTGCCAGTCAGCTTTCGTATGATATTGTTTCTAGCACCCACTTTTTGTTTGATGTTCAGGCAGTGCTTCTTGTAGGTCAGAGCACGGTCCAGGGTAACTCCCAGGTATTTGGGTGCGCTGCAATGCTCCAGTGGGATTCCTTCCCAGGTAATCCTCAGAGCTCGGGATGCTTGTCTGTTCTTAAGGTGAAAGGCACATGTCTGTGTTTTAGATGGATTAGGGATCAGTTGGTTTTCCCTGTAATAGGCAGTAAGAGCACCTAGAGCTTCGGAGAGCTTCTGTTCAACCATCTCAAAGCTCCCTGCTTGAGCGGTAATGGCACGATCATCAGCATAGATGAAACTCTCTGTCCCTTCTGGCAGTGGCTGGTCATTTGTGTAGATGTTGAACATGGATGGAGCAAGCATGCTCCCCTGAGGCAGGCCATTCTTCTGTTTCCGCCATCTGCTTCTCTGGCCCTGGAACTCAACAAAAAAGCTCCTGTTTTGTAGCAGGTTTCCTATGAGGCGGGTGAGATGGTAGTCCTTTGTGATATACATATATCATAAGCTGCTAACGGTCTATGAAGACAACTCCTGTGATCTGCTGCCTTTC